AAATTATATGAGATAATTTCTAATATAAATTAAATCAAATTTTACCTCAGAAGAATTTTTTTTATAAAATTTGTAAATTGAAAAATGTTTAACTAAATAAATTTTAAAGTAAAAATGAAACTTGAACTATATTTCTTATTGCATGTTTTCTTACCACTTTAAATACATATTGTGTCCTCTCATTAAAGTAACTACAACAGAAAATTACTGAAAACTTAAAAGCACACTTCCAGGCGCACTGGAAGCGCTTTTGTGTGTACAACACAACCGTCCAGTGGCTAAGGGGTGGCGCAGCAAGACACCGCTATTCGTATGTGCGCGTGTGTGTGTACGTCCTTGCTTGCGCGATGCACTGTGTCACAAGCGAGTATTTTCCTTTTGCTGCAACGCGGCACAACGTTCGTTCGGTCGTGCGCTCGCTGGCCCGCAAAACAGCTGCTGTCCATCGAACGCTTGCAATCACGTACATACAAGTACAATATCGGGAATTCCGAAACGAGTTTACAGTTATAATTTCTTATATTAAAACGCGACTTTAAGTGTTTCATTTTTGCTGTGAATTGTGATATGTTATTGTTAATGAGAACACGCAAAGAACAGCTTTTCATTCGCGAAATCTCTACGGCGTAGCGCAGTCAGGAGCGCATTTGCGCACAGCTGAGATTTTTGCTGCCATCGAAACGCACCCTTCCACGGGAACGGCATGCAGAGCGCAATAAAACAATAAAGAACAACAAAGTGAAGTGCAAATGTTAGCGCGCTGGTGTGTGTATGTGTGTGTATGCGGGCGCGCTTGTGTGACAGTGAACTAAAAATCGATTATCAATACGAATGATGCACCCATTGTTGTTGGAGCGCACTTCGTTCACACCAACGAATACGACGTCATTGTGCATGGTGAATTGCAGTTGTTGTTGCCAACACCGCAGCTGGCGCCTGCACAGCCCCAACCGCCTGGCCGCCATCCTCCGACGGCGAACTATTGCATACAGCAAGGCGCACAGCAGCTGCTTTGCATATCCAACGTCTTCGACGGTACAATTCCACCATTTCCAATTATTTTGACATATCGGCCCGTACCATAGATTGCGAGTACCTCGTGTTTATGCGTGTGTTGCTACTATAATTTATTTAGTCGCTTCGTTTGCGGTACAGAGCGCGCGCATCGTATTGCAATCGCTGGCAACGCACATTGTTGTTGTAACATTATGTATGCACTGCACCGCCACCCGATGTGTTACCATTCCAGCTGCCGAGCGCTGTGTGCAACAGCGAATGCGAACGCGCATATCCTTGTGCAATAGCGAAAATCCAAAGGAAGTGTCGCAGCGACCACCAGCAATGGCAGCAGTGCAAAATTTCTCGATTGCAATGCAGCAACAGCAACAGTAGCAGCAGCAGCAGCAATAGGAAAAGCTCAGTGTGTGAATTGTGAGCAATATTGCTGGGAAAATTCAATGAAAATTGGAAGATTGCAACACCAGCAGCGGGCGCGGAAGCAGGAGCGGGCATTGTGCTAATTGGTGCGTGCAAAATATTTATTAAAGACAATGCAACTGCTTAACAGACGCACACACATGGACATAAAATGTGAAGTGAAGTGAATGTTGCAACGCAATTAAATGGAAAAGTTTGTGTGTATGTGTGCTCTGAAAATTTAAGAAAAAAAAACACACAAAATATATGCAAAATTGAGTTGGTAGTGCAATTTCGCAAAACTCATGGACTGCAGTCGCATTTTATGTATGGACACTCCCACACACACACGTATAAAGACAAGCGAAATATCGCCAGCAATTTTCATTAAGCAATTTACTTGTAAACTTCTTTTAAAATTTCTCTAAAAATGCAGCAGAAAAAAGTATAGATTAAACAAAAAAAAAAAACTAACTACAACAGTCGTCGTCGTAAACTATCGGTAACGGTGCATCGGTGGATTTCGGTGAATCGCTTGCTACTTCGAGTCGTTGTCGTGGTCGGTGCAGCGTCGTTGTTCTTAAGTGCACTTAAAAGGCTGATTTTTTCTTATTTTGATGTTGTGCTTCTACACTCGTATAGACTCGTTTAAAACAACAAAAAGTAAAAACAAAAAACAAATCAAAACAGTAATAAAAAGTAAAAAAGCAGAGACAAAACAGAGACACAAACAGCAAATAAACAATCGAAAAGAATGTTATCAAGTGACTTTAAAAAAAAGGATTAAAAATTACTGAGAAATCTAAGACTTTTACGACTGACTGACTGACGAGTATTTCAAATCTATACTAAATAAGTTCATAAAACCAGCACGAAATTCACCACGAAAACAATGCATCAAAACAGTTATATCCCGTTGTGCAAGCTCTAAGAAAAACAGTTAACTAAAACGATTTCAACGGCAAAATTTTAGCATTCAAAAAAAAAGAAAAAAACTATTAAATCAATTCGAGCATTCGAGCGATATGAGGATTTTATGTCCGAATTTGAGGTTAATTTAAATTAAATGAAAATTAATGTGTAGAGATCTACAGTGTTTTAAAAGCTGTTAAAAAAAAATATTAAAAAAAGAAAAAATAATTGTGCAAAAACAATTTTCGCCAAGAAAATAAAAGTTTTGAAAACCAGTTGAACTGAACATTATTTCATTAAAGCATAATATACCAAGCACTCCAAAATAAAATTAAATTAAGGAAATAATAGTGAAATAAATAGAAAATACACAAAAATATAACCTAAAACAAAAATACAAAACCCAACTTACCCGCAGCTTAAACTTTAAAAGCTTCATATTAAACTTCAAAATCACTATATTATTCTTCAAAATCCCCATATTACACGTCAAAATCTCTCAGTGTTGCATTGTTACCCAAACTGCCAGCAAAATGAGTGTGTAAACCGCGTAATGGAAAAAAGTAAAACAAAAGTCATTAAAAATAAGCCTGTAAATTATACAATTAATTTTTGTCGTAAAAAAATATAAAAAGTCAATATTTCCATTGGAATTTCAAATAAATATAATCATATTGCATATATAAACAACTTCTTTGAAATAAACGATACACCAAATAAGTATAAAACACATACTCGTATATACAACTTAATATAAATATATACATTCTAGTCTACGTAAATAATATATACAGCTAAATACATAAAAAAACTATTTAAAATTGTGCATAATTTATTCTACTTGTACTGGCATGTAAATGAAAAGACTATACGGCAATTAATATATATACATAAACAATTAAAATAAAATATAATTAACTCGCTAAAAATGTACGCATACATACTTACATATATAAGAATCCGAGTAGGAAAATTAAAACTGTAACTTAGTGGAAGTTCATAAATAATTACTAAGAAAGTGCATATAAACATACATTTACATATGTATATGTATGTATATGTACATACAAACATAATGCGCCCGCAAATAACTATTCTTATCACCCGCTAATGGAAAAACTGTAATAAATGTTTTGTGCAACATATTTATCAAAAAATGTACCTTTATTCACGCACACACATACACACATATACAAATTGTATATTCACCACAAAAAGTTGCAGTTAAATGGTAAATGAAATATTTATGTGAAACAAAAACAAAAGCAAATATATCAAACTAAAACAGCGCCATTAACAACTGTGTTTATCATATATGTATGTACGTGTACACACATGCATAATAATGAAATCCATGTATAATGTGTACAGATGTGCATAAGTGCTTTTGTGATTGCGTAAACTTCAGTTGTACACGTGTTTGTGTGCGTTTTACACCAATGCGAATACGCATAAGTGTGCGTGCAAAGCTTCTTGTATAATGAATGTAAACAAAAAACTGCACGGCATGCAGTGAGTGACACAGCCCGTACACTTTGCGCTGACACTTGCACTTGCACACTCTTGCAGAGAAGCGCACATGCATGTACAAACATGTGTGCATAAATGGAAGTGCGTTGAAAAGTGAATGAAGACAAAAGGAAATATTTACAGTTTTAAAGTTTTAAAAGATATTTGTTAATAAATTTAAATACATTTTTTACGGTTTTGTGTGAGTTTTCACAGGAGAATACCTAATACTATACTAACAAAACATGGAATGCAGCAATTTTTCACATTCAATAAAAGGAATTTATGCATTTAGTACGGAAATTGAGCTGAAAATAAATTGCACTCGTTATACTTAACAGATCTGAGTAAACAGTGGCGCTCACGCAACCCGCGGATACAATAATCTTACTCAAACAAAAAAAAATCAACAACAATAAATTTACCATTTGAATTATTGCCACCTAAGGCTAAACGAGGTGAAATACGAAGTGTCAGTGCATCGAATATGACAACACGAATTTCGCACGCAGTGAAGGATTTGCCGTTGAGACACTGAATGCAACAAGATAAAAGCATATTTGAGAGGAAATTTCGAAAATTTGTCTAACGATATTTTAATAACATTTGCTGACTTTTAAGTCAGTCTGGTAATAATAACGACGTTTAAAAGCAAGAAATTGACGTTAAAATAACGTAAAATAGTATACATGCATATATGTATGTATATATTGTCAACAAATGCAAGAATAAATCCAGCGAATGTTATGGACCAACAGTAAGAAGAGCTTTGTGGCTAATTCAAGTTTTAGGTGACGGAAGGAAAAAAACACGTTTGCAAAAAATATACTAAAACCTAATTTGCACACAATATTTAATAGAGAAATATCTTATACATACATACATATAATCATAAAATATTACATTAAATAATACTCACGAAGGAAACGTGAAACAAGCGCTTAGAATAGTCTGATCACCACAAATTGACTGAAAACAAAACTAGATTAACGCACATAAATGCACATAAAACCAATATCACGCATTGCAATACGAATTTTTAAAGAGAGCAGTAAAAAAAAAGTTAATCCACGAAATACTCACGAATTATAAAGAGCACAAAGGTAAGCAAAAACGCAGTGTGAACAGCAAAACCTGAGACTAATTAGCGTAAACGCGATAAAACTGACGTAAAAGTTGCTCACGCGCACTGAATAAGTAGATACATACATATGTATATTCATAGTATATTAAAAAAAAAAAAATAAATAAATAAATAGAAAACACGAACTAACGCATTTTAACAAAACGCACAAAACACGGAGGGAGCATGTTTCATGCAACCCTGCCGCTAAAGTGGAAAGCAAATCGCCACAAAACCCACTAAACTTTAGAAGAAAATAGAAGCAATAGCAGCACAGCAACAACAACAGTATACAAGCAACACCAAAAATACTTTTTAAGCACCAAGTTCAAACTACGCGCGTCATCTCGATCCTTCATCCAAATACAAAAACCAAAAAACAACGCATTTAAATGTTGCCCATCGACTCGACACTCACAGCCAGCTCTGCCAAAGTGTCGCATAGCTCACCGCCGTACACGCTGCGCTGCCGACCGTCACGCAATGCCAGCAACGTCGTGTTGATCACGCAACAACAACAGTCGGAAAACAACAAGTGTGGCGCTGGACGCACCGCGGACGATGCCGCCAATGTCAGCACCACTTCTGTACATGTGCACAGTGGCAATGGCAACAATAACCTCCGTGCAACAGGTGTCACGACATTGAGCAATGACAATCCGGGCGGCGGCGGCGGCGGCGGCAATGGCAATAATAGCGGCAGCAACAGCGTTCATTCAGCAACGAGTTTTCGCAACAAAATGCCATCGATATCAATTATACCGTTGCCGGTTAGCAGCGCAGCGGCCACCATCGCCAGCTGTAGCGGCACAACGACGAGTACGAGTGTGGTGCGCACCGTGACCACCTCGAATAAGGCCACATCGCCGCCACCGCTTTTCAATTCGCCGCCAAGAAGCAATAACAGCGGCAGCAGTGGCTTGCAGCCGCAACGTCCACTGTTGCAGCATCAGTATCAGCAGACGGACAAGTGCACCATATTGAAATTCGATGTGGTGCGCAAGCCAACTGCCGCTGCGACAGCGGTCGAGCAATTATCCCGCAACATTATTGCCACGGCGCCGAAAGCGCAAACGACCGCCACTTCAACGGTGACGAGCGGCATGGCATTTTCGGCGACGAGTGTTGCAAGTCGCCAACAACAGTTGCAGGCATTGCAGCAATCCATTTTCGATCATGAGATGTCCGATGACGCCGAAGCGGATGCGGAAATTGCTGCGCTCCATCAGCAGGTGTTGAGTGGTAACACAACAAGCACTTTGACCACGGGCAGTCAGCCCATTATCGTAAAGATTGAGCCAGCGCAGTCGTTTCACATCGTCGATGAATCGGATACGCGTGTGCTGAGTTTGCCACTCTCGGATGCGGATAAGGTTGGTGCGAGTTGGATTGATCTGAAGGATATTGCAGGCTTGCAGACCACCTCGGCCACACTGGTAGACGTGTGTTTCGATTCGCCACCCGGTTTGCTGCCAGTCAGCACGAATAAGTCCACATCGACGGCCGAAGCGGTGGTGCAGACGGTCGTTGAGTCGGGCGGTATTAGTCATACACAAGGCGCTAAAAAGCGTCAGTTGGTTGTTAAGCAGATATCGGTGGAGCAACCGGCAACGACGGCAACTATTATTGAAGCTGTAATCACACCTGCTACGGTTGTAACGGCAACGGCTACGGCTACGACATCTACAGCATCCGGAACGTCTACGGTGTCGCGGTTCAATGCGAATGAACGTGCACAACACCAGCAGCAACAATCACAGCAGCAATCGCAACAACAGCAACAGCAATTGCAGCAGCAGCAGCAACTTCAGAACAAAGGTACCACGACTGCGGGTACTGCATTAACGCCGTCCTCATCAACTGGACTTAATGTCGGTGGAGCCATGACAGGTTGGTACTACTCAATTAAAGTTGATGTTTGCTGAAATATAATAACTTATAATAATCATATTTATGTATTTGTTTGAAGTATATCTACGAAATACCCTATTAATTCCGCCAAAGACGCTGTGTTGATTTTAAGGAATTTACTTTCCAAGTATTTTCTTAACAAAAGATATTTTCAAGGTATGGAGTTGCTTAATGTCGCTTAATATATTATTTCCTGTTCTCAAAGTATCCTTGCCATCAGCTGACGGCATTGAAATGCTCTTAACTTCTTTCTCACTTGTTCTGATCACTTGTTCTTATCGCGATGGCTGCGACAAATATACAGATTAATATGTTAACTAACTTTCAGAATCTCGAAAAATTGTAACGCCGATGAGCATGCTAAAAAAATCACTCTTGCTTCATTGCAATCCGATAGAAACAAGTAAAAAATCCACAGCTTTTTTTTTTTTTTTTTGGTTTTGTTTCTTGTCCCACATTGCTTTATTTCGTTTAAAGTAAGAGATCGGGGGTCAAAACCGATCTGTGGCTGCGTGACTTTTCTGAGTTGGGCCCGCAGGATATCTATTGCACTATTTGCTCTCAGTGATATTGAGAGATTTTTGAATCCTGTTGATCTTAATCGAACACTGTGCATGGTGAGGCCTAAAATATTTGGTAAAAGCATGTCAAAATTTTTTGAGAAGCACTTGCTACAGCTTCGATAAGTCCAAGGAATTGGCTGGAATCGAAATTTACTGGCTCAACAAATTAGTAATAGGCTCAAAGCCTTTTTTCAATATTTGAGCACAGGGAATGAGATAAGGAAAATGGAACAATTTCTAACCCGAAAGTTTTGAGGGAGGCACCGTGCTCTGCAACAATTTTTAGACACAAATACACACTGTTATGAATAAAATACGCTCTCTTATTTTCATTAGGATAACTCACATATTGGCCGATATATGCGATACAAAGTCACCCCAAAGTTCGAAAATCTTATATTAAGTATATAGAGCCTAAGGAAAGTATTGGTCCGATTCAACCCATTTTTAACATACCATACATTTAGTTATTGATTTATCGTGATTTTAGTATGTTTTGAGTGATATGGTTACTCTTTAATTTCATTCATTTACATACTGTCGGTAGAAGATTTATAAGATTTGTACTCAGCAAATTTGGTTTTTGTAGCTTAAGTGGTTTGGGAGTTATGTACACTAAACTTGTTGAAAGGTGGAGCCATGCCTACTTTTTCAAAAATATGTAGGTAGGAGTGCAGCCCTGTTGTATTTTAAGCTTAATTAGCACTAGCTGTGCATTTTGTTGCTATCACACCTCATCTAATGGCCGATATGCTTATTGTAGTCATCCATTTAAGGTCTTAAGGTGCTTGAAGGATTCCAAGTGTTCTGTGTCGGATCTGCGATAGTGCTGAGCATTCACAGAGAACGTGGAAAATTGTTTCCTTCTTCCCTACTAGTTCGCAACCTCAGCAGATGTTGTTGTAGGACATATATATTTTGGACGCATGTTCTCCAAATGACCAATGCCCTATTATAGTAGCAGTTAGTCTGTAGATACTGTTCTTAGATCTATTCAATAAGTCGTTAGTTCTTTTCTTGTCATATGTTGGCCATATCTGTTTGGCTATATTGAATTTTGTTACATTTTCCATCTATTGTTTGCTAATTGTTGATATTGTATATTGAGCTCTCTTCAGATCGATTCTAGCCGGCTTGGTATCCACTATGCCTCGGATTCGTTTAAGAAAGCTCCCGCCTTTGCCAAATCGACTGATTTTTCGTTGCCGAAAATGTTCCTGTGCCCGGGAATCCAGATCAAGTCTAGGTGGAGTTTGTTTTCTAGTGAGCTCAGTGCATTCTTGCAGTTAAGGACTATGCAGGAATTAGTCATGGGCGACGACAATGCCAGGGGAGCCGTCTGGCTGGTGTATTAGTGCGTATTGCTACTTTATATATCATCTCATAGTTACTCATTAGAGCTTCGCAGGCCTTCTCTTTGCCCATTACTTCCGTTTGGAAAATGCGGGCCGAGTTCGGTAGATGGATAAAAAGAGAGATGTCCAGATTGTCGGAATATACTCCCGTGCCTACCCCGCAGTCCATTTATAAATAATCTAATTATCTGGAGAGAGCCGGTGGTCTTTGTTAGTCATTACAAATTGCAATTTCAGAAAGAGAATGGTGAGTTTTAATACATATTTGTGCCAGATATGTCAAAAACTAAAATTCTTATACAAGTCTATGTAAAGTCTATGAGATCTTATCCGGACTCATGCAGTATATTGATATTTCGGAGAACGGTCATCCTAGATAGGATTAAAAAATAATACCTGACGTTGTCGATTGAATAAGAACTATCTTCGATAAACAATTTCTCTGCTCGCTCGTGAGTTCGTTCAAGAGTTTTCGATAGTGAAGGATTCCAATGAGAAACGAATTTAAAAATTTATTTTCTTCTTTGATTTGAAAAACTTAACACTTAAAATCAATCATAGTAATTTACCTAGAAAGGAGAGCAAGCGGTTGTTAACGTTCTTCGGCATGGAACAATTCATTTCTACACACAGAAAGAATCGTAGTATAATTCCACATGCGTCAGATGACAGGTTAGCACAGAGTTGCACCACATGTCCTGTTCACCAACTTGAACAACAGGTATAGTTTGTTCGATTCGCTACTCTCCAACGATTTCCGAGTAGCTTATAGCAAAAAAACAAACCTTAACCCACTCTGTGGTTATTCATCCTTGGTATAAATCAGGTGTTAAGGGTAATTTAGTGTGTTTTTGTTACAAAGTATTATTCTTCATTAGAATATTTATATACATAGATTGATTGCTGCCACAAAAATAAGTTACAATATTATTACCAATAACGGACTAATAATATTTAAACACTACAAATTGCAAACATAATCATCTTAAATCTCTAGCTGTAAATTTCTCGAACTAGTGGCGAAATTATTTAGTTATTAAAGTTGATTCGTGTGGAAAATCGTCTTACCCGTTCGCGAAACCGTACTAACTGTTCAGCACATTGCGCGAAATATTAGTTTAACGATCACCGAAAAATCAACATAATTAACTTATAAATTGAAACTGTTCTCTTGTTGTTACTTATGTGCGCGTGTTGTTGTAATTGTTGTAATTTAATTGCAAAATCATCATCAGCAGCAACATTAACATGCCATTGCCGAGTACACACCCCGCGGCCACTTGCTCTACAACAACTGCAGGCGAACTGCTGAGCAACGTAACAGTAAGTAATGCCAGGCAATTAACTAGAAAACAACAAAACACACACACAAAAGCAAAATTAAGAGAAAAAAAATTACAAATGAGCAGCAAAATTAGCAAACAGCAGAATGGAGTTTATATATACATATATATATGTATATACAATGTGTGTGTGTGTGTGTGTGTCGAAGAAAAAATTAAGAACTGCAATTTCAACCTGTAAAATAACAGACGTAATCGCAAAATCCCCAAGAAGATTTCTCCATGTTCTTACACTCCCAAGCACACACACACAGGTATTCGCGTGCTCGACTGTGTGAAATGTACCGTTGTGTACGTGTGTGTTTTGGTATGAGTGCAAACATTTGTTGGCTATTCACCTTTGCGTGGTGCGCTTTCAAGTGTCCCACTTTCCACACTGATCCAACTAATACGCGAAGAACCGCAAGCAACAACAGCAATGTGCCAGCCAGCCAGCGACTGGAATGAACGCAGAAAAGAAAACAAATAAAGAACTGCCAGTCAGCCACAGAACCAACACGTTCTGACACACACACACACACACACACACACACACACATGCATAGGAATACGGAAAACATAACTGCGCCAAGAAGCCGCTTCTTCGACTTCGAGCTGCCACTTCAGCTCAGCTACAACTTTGGCTTCGTCTTCAGCTTGGTTTTTGGTGTTGCTGCCGTTTGCAGAGTTCGATTACTGGTTGGACTTGGTATTGTTGCTGGCAGCTACCGCGGCTTTGGCTCTGGCTGCGGCTCATTGTTGATGTTCTACAATTTCGCGATGCTCATTCTTACACAATACTCACCGGGCCGGCCTGCTTTGCCACACTTGGTTGACTTCTCAACATTTTAACCGCAATGCTCAGTACGCGCAACTCGCTGTTAGCCTGCTTGTGAGCCGCCAAAACATTTTCGCTGCCAGCAGACGAAATGACGAAGCGCGCGCTTAAGCTGAAATTGTAGTCGAAGCCAACACCGAAGTTGGCCAGAACCAGAATCGCAGGCCGCACGAGCAACACTGAGCCACATTACGGTACACCAACACTAACGCATTCATGCTTACTGTGTGTGTGTAGCGGTGTACGTGCTCGGCAGGCTGCATGCGCTCGCACAGCGGCAGTTAGCGCTAATAATTTTACCGTAGCACGAACCTTAGCGGTAAAATTTTCTACTACAAACTATACAGTTAGCTCATTGGAGCTATGTGCCAAAGACAGTGGAATTGCCAATAGACACGTTAAAGCAGACACGAAGAACACGGCGCAAGACCTGCATGGACAGAACGGGAAACAGGCGCAACATAGATTATATGTTTGTATGTAGTTATTGCTAAGTGTGTGTGTGTGTGTGTAAAAAGAAGATGTTGGCTTAAAAGGCCTGCAGAATTAGGTACGTGTCTACGTTAATAACAGTACATTTACACATACAGACATAAATAAATGTACATACATACATAAGTAGGTGCTCATAGCAAAATGAAGTGGAAAAGTCAGTTCCATATGTTGTTGTCGTGCGAGCGCGTTGACTGTCTACGTCGCCATCCCAACTAAGTAACCAATTGACTGTCTGCCGCTTTAACTACCAACTCGGCTGACATTGTCTTGGTTGTCAAAGAGGCTCGTGATTTTTGTTTTTCGCCTATACTTTGGTTCCACAGCCGGCTGGGGAAGGGCGAGAAGGGCGCCGTTAAGGTGGCTTTGTGGCATTGTTGTTCGTACGAAGTTTTCGCGTCGCATGAAT